ATATATTCTTCCATTTGATTTTGAACCGTGTTGTTTGATATATTCAACTATTCGTTTTTGTCACGTGTTATTCAATATATTCATGCTTCGATCTTGACCCGTGTTATTGGTAATCATGACTATGTTGTCCGCACATGTCTAAGTACAAAACATTGCTGATCACTACCACTACCACTACCTTTGTTAAATGGGGATACCTTCCTGTGCTTTGCTGTTGATTATGTCTCTTGGCTGGGAGTATTTGAATTTTTCGTTACTTTTCTTTCTACGACCCCTTCCCCAATACACAACCATCTCTACTTTTCGTGTGAATATCAATATTCAATAACTTATATATTATTTTAAAAATGCCATCAAATAAGAATAATGACTACTAGTATCTCCACCTCCCCATCGGTTACCTTGGTTACCAAGCTCTGCGTCAGCATCCTGAATATTAAGCTAGTACCCAGTTCTCATTATCTTCAGTCGAAGCAATGATCATAATATACGGAACGAAACATACTATGCTCTTGTAGAGAAACTTTTAGTATACAGAACTGCTACAAAATGGCTGGAAAGCTTGGCCCTTGCATGCAGTGTGCAAAGTACCTCCTGTTTGTTTTCAACGCTATATTCTGGGTAAGTAAAACAGAAGCCCACGAGAGCTGAGAATTTTTCTGGGGCGGCAGAACGTGTGTTAATGTTTGCCGACATTTTTTTATGTAGTTCAAAGACATTTTATTCGCTTGGCTCTGGATTTGTAAATGATTAAATACCGTTCATAAGTACGATATATTATATGTCTTTAATGGGAGTAATGTTTTTGAAGCTTAACGCACGTACAGTGACCTTTGAGTGGCTTCACAGTTGAAGAATTTGTCAGTTGATGGATGTGAGAATCGAAGGGTACTCTTCAAATACATGGGCAGAGTCAGGTTCGAATAGAACTTCGAACATCAAAATATTAATTTTTACAGACTGATAGTTAAATTTCGGTTTAAATCTCGAAAGTATAATCCATAAAGCAACCGTATTCAACTGTGAACTAAGATCTTACCCATCGAGCAAGATCTTTTGTTAAGCGAAAGTGTTCTACAGAAATAATTTTTTTTTAGCTTAAATTATTTTAAACCTTAAAATCGAAATCCATCGAGTCAGATCGTCTTACAAACAGTGATATTTCGAAACTGTAACTCGTTTTAGCGCTAAATCATATATCAAATGAAGTTTTTAAGGTAACATCAAAAATATGCAATGTCTATTTATGTGTATATTTTTCTTTGATTTCTATTTTCTACATTGTATGAAATAAATGTGTTAAAGTGTTGTTTATGACTTCATAATATTTAAAACAGCCAAGCTTACTTCAGCTACTTCAACCATAGAGCTAAAGGAAGCTTGATTTTAAACTTTGGCATATATTTTAGACACAGCTCAGTAATGAGTAGATTCATAAAACATATTTATTCACCCAAGTTTTTAATGATGAGCTGGAAGATGCTAGATATTATTTCGATTAATTTTTAAATATTCACACATATTGATACTACATTTTCAGAATTTCCTATTGATTAGTCAAGAAAACCAATAAACAATGAAAATAAAAATATACCCGAAATGCTCAAGGATTAACAAATATTAGACCAAGGGTGGTGGCGTTCTACTTCACTTTCCTTGAATAATCTTATTAATAATTTTGAATCATGATTTTAAGGCATTGAGCAAACATCTGTTTGTGAATGTTATTGGGTTTCTTTGAGAAAGGGTAATTGTGGGTTGTGGTTAGGTTTTCGAGTATGAATGATATTATTTTAACCTAACAATGAATAATGTATGAAAGAAAGCTTTACTTGTCTGGATGAATTTCTAGTCTAAATATGTCTTTGTCTCTTATCAATATGTCACTTCTTTTAATATTCTACTATATCTTCTGCATAACAACTAAGCTTTTCTTATTATAACCAGCCCAGCAGACATGAATCTTCAGGGTTTCCTTGTTAGAGCTTCATTCGTTTTGAAAGTCAATTTTCATTTGTTTTCCTTTTTTACCTGTTAATAAAAAATGCAATTTCAAAGTTTTGGCATTACAAATCTTTCAAGAACACTTTTTACCATTGCAATAACTTCAGTTACTAACACAAAAGCTAATTGACAAATACAAGATATTTAAAAAGATAAAATAATTCAAATAATTTTTATAAGATAACGAATTATTTTTTCATGTAAAATGTATTTTTCTTTTAAATTTCATTTTTTTCTGCATTGAGATTTGCATTGCAATTTGAAATTCAAAAAGAACATTTTATGATCATATTGATTTTATTTTATATTCTTGAATTATAATTTTCCTTATAACAGTATTTACATCTTGATACAGTATATGTTTATCGCAATTAATTTTTGTATATTCCAAACACCCGCCCCCTTGGTTTAAAATTGTCCCTTTTTTATACATGTCCTTGCATTTCCACTTGTATTCTCTGGTTTTCTCATGTCTTCAGTCTTTATAGGCCGATTTTTATTTGCGTTTTTTCCTCATTAGCATAAAAAAATTTTTCAAGCTACAAGCAAACTGACTCCAGAAATCAAAAGAGAATGTCTCCCCCTCTGGTCAAGGATGTCCATTTTTCTCATCATATAACCCCTATTATTGCCATTTGTTTTAACTCCTGGTCAGGAGGGTTTTATTTTCATGTCTTCAAGAATAAATTTTAATTTCAAATATAGCTCTTGGGCAACATTTCCYAGTGTTTGAGCCCCAATATCTCTAGCATCTGTGTACCTCCTAACCCCTAGCTTGCAAGATATAGAACTGTCAAATTTACCACAAGGGTTTTTCTGATAACTACAATGGTACATATCCTATATAATTGTACATACACCATTACGTTTTCTAAGTCCAATAAATGTTCTAATTTTTTAGTTGCTTGGTCTTGGTGTACTTGCAGTAGGAATATGGGCTTTGGCCAAGTTTGACACATACATGAAGCTGTCATCCTCCCATGACTTCACAATAGCTGCCTATATTCTCATTGGCGTAGGCCTATTCATTGCTATTGTTGGGTTCATGGGATGCTGTGGAGCCATCAAAGAACATACTTGTCTTCTCAAAACTGTAAGTATAAGTGACTTTGTATTGTAAATTYAATATACTAGTCAGTAATAATAGTGAAGGCCAAACCATACCATGCCATATCCAAACCATACTATGTAATTTTGCCAGTCAGTTTATACATGCAATGCTGTTGGTGATAAAGCTTTTATGGATCTTATTTTCCTTGTAATAAAACTTATTATTAATAATAATTAAATTTACTGTAAAAAAGGTCTGTCTGGCAGTTCATTGAATGCTGTAGTTGTTGTCTTACAATTAGTTAAGAGTATCTTGCTGTAAACTATGTTGCTGCAAGTAAGTGCAATAAAGTTTACACACTACCGCAGACAACATACAGTTGCAGAGAAGGATACAGTGCACTAATTATTGATGTTTCATGCTGATGCAACCTTGTACCTGTATACTGGTCTTTAAAGCTACCCAGTCTTGAATGGCATTTTCCAATGGTCTGGAGTTGAACGTAGAAAAAGATATACTCCAAAGAAATTTTCAGTCATTATTGTCAATCAATTCAATTGAATTCAATAATGATGTTCATTTTTTCATAGTTTGCAACTATCCTTGGCTTTCTCTTCCTGATTGAGCTTGGTACAGCCATTACTGGTTACGTCTTCAGAGATGAGGTAAACAGAATAATAACATGCCTAGCAATCTCTTCTCCAGACTCAGCCAACATATTTGTCTATACCTGGCTCCTCCTTCTGACACTCACCAAGGATGTCACCGAACTGGGTTTTCACACCAGACAAACATACCATGGTCACACCTCCAAAAATACACAACTCCACCCACAAACGTCAACCTTTTAGTCTGCATTCCTTTCTTCACGTTTCATTATCTGTTCAATAATTTGTGGGCAACAAAAAATTATAAAAGAACGTCGAAGAAAGGAATACAGACTAAAAGTTTTCTTGTTTGTGTGCGGAATCATAGATGTTTGGAGGCTTTATAGTAGCCTGTTTTTCTGGTGTGAAAACCCAATTTAGTAATATCCATAGTACCACAGAATTATACTTATTACAAACAATGCTGACTGTTATTTTTGGTTCTTCAAGATTAAATCTGGATTCAACCTAGGATTAGATGAGGCTGTGAAAAAATATTCCGAAAAAGGAATCAAAGAAGTTTGGGACAACATGCAATCGAATGTTAGTATATCTTCATTTAAGATGTCTTAATGATGTGATACCTTTGTGGAATAATTAGTGTCTCCACTGGCTATTGGGTTCCATGTGGTAAAATTCCAAAGGCAGCCAAAGCAAATTTTTTTTTTTACGGTTGATCATCCAAGCCCTCCTCTATCGCTTTAGCAGCAGGCATTACGTGTTACAGTAATTTTAACATTTTTAGAGTAGTCATATGCAGTAATTGGCATTTCTCATTTGTCCAGTAAAAGCATTTTTTTGTTAGTGGTCAATATTTTAAAATCTTTTTTGCAGTTGCATTGCTGTGGAAGCAAGAATTATACAGACTGGTTCAACAAAGACAAATCTTCTGGTGTTARCTGGAATGAAACTGTACCAGACTCTTGCTGCCGCACAATTACAACAGGATGTGGCATGAATGCCACAACGGATCCACACTCGATATTCTATGATAAGGT